ATTGACTTGGTCTTCGCGGAGCTAGCCTCCCCAAGGGCGCCCGGAGAACCCGCCCACATCCTCCCAATCTCAGCGGTGGCGAAAAAGTCACTGTCAGATACTCAGGTCCGGAAGATTAGAATCGTGAAGGACTGCGGTTGCCGCTCGGAGGATGAAGCTTAGCTCAACGATGTTCTCGATGTTGGATTTCGAAGGCTCAGGTTCCTGCTGCTAGCACAGTGGACCGAGGGTGGTTTACTGGACACTGATACTTTACGGAATGACTGATAAGAAAGGAACTCACACGCTTGCAGTGGTCTTCAATCAGGGGCAGAGCACCTAGGTCTGCGTGATCTTCCCGGTACTCAGCAAGCTTTATCGGTGCATATATAGAGGCATGGAAAACCCTCACCCATCTGGGAAAGTTCCAGGTATTGTGATTCATAATTGCTCTGCCAATTATAAGTCCTGGAGTTTTGCTTGATTACAAGAACAAAAGAACCTGCTACGCTGTAGCCTTGAGATTCTGTGACGGACCGGGGAAAACTTAGAACTTGGTGCCAAACTGGCTCCATTCCAAGCACATTCGAGGAATTTCTCGCGGCAAATGGGGTGAGGCATGTGCTGATTAGCACGCAGCATCCCCAGAGCAATGGTCAGGTAGAGCGGAATAATAAGGAAGTATCGCGATTGTTGCGATCATTATTCGAAGCCCCGGATCGACGAGATTGGGCGAAGCATGTACCGCGAGCTCAGATGATGCTAAATTCGGTGGCATCTAGGAGTACGAGAAAATCTCCATTTGAGGTGTTACGTGGATATATTCCCAGGCTCGATAATCATTCCCAATTGGTCGAAGAGGTTCAGGATAGGTTATGGACTGCTGCAGCAGAGGTTCAGGAGGAGATAGTCAAAAATCTTAAGAAGGCTCAGAATCGATATGCGTATTATTACGATCAGAAACGCAGGCCTCATTTCGTCAGGCTGGCGATAGGAGATATCGTTGCCGTGAGTCGATTACCCGTCCACACCGGTGAACCGACCAAACTTCAGGCCAAGTTTCGGGGACCAATGATAGTAACCGAAATTCTCCCAAGGGATACCTATAGGCTAGTCCAGCTAGGTGACAAAAAGTACACTTGTACGGCACATTCTTCACAGCTCAGATACTACAGGGTGAACAGCGAAGACGAGGAAAATGCGATCCCGTTCGAGGATACGTTTGAGGAAGACGAGCCAGAATTCGTCGACTCGCAGCAGGCAATGATCGAGGACACGGATCAGGATCAAGATGTCGAAGAAACCATAGTCCAAGAATTCGAAGGAGTGGAAGATCCGGTTATGATCACGGAATAAACTGGGCTCGAGGACGGCTCAACGATACGAAGCGAAGAGGCATCATCACCGATAGAAATTTCATCATAGTCATCAGGATCGTCGGCGGAGATTCAAATCAATGTGAACCCAGCCAGGTATGAGAGAAGGAAGAGATAGAAGGCCAATAACAGATTTGAACACGGCGATGATGGAATCTCCAGGTAGATCAGGATTATCAGGGGCAGGCTCTAGTCAGGCTAGGCAGCGTCCGAGGAGAATTGCTCGTTTCCAAGGAAAATATTCTCACAAGGAGATACTGCCACCGAGCACAAACCGATTCGGCTGCAAATTGGTCAGTCGACAGATTTCGAGTCATGTACCTCAGGGCATTCCGCGAGCAAATGCACGGTTCACTTTTTGTGGGCCGCGAAAAACCGCGATAAATTGCGGAAAATCAGTCGATTCTAGCACAAGATTCCAACGGGGCGCTGGGGAAAAACTCCCGCGACTCCTCTTTTTGAATTTGATTTTTGAATCGGGACCGCCTTTCCGAATGTCGCAGAATGTTCCGAATATTCAAATGTCGCAGACATTATGAAGTCACATCATTGCGAATGCACAGATCGGATTTGCTAGCCTCATCATGAGTACGTCGGCGTCGGTTTCCGCGGTCCTGAAGAAGCTAATGAATCGGTTCAGGCCCGATATGTCGATTATAAGAAAGCTCACTGATACCGAGGAACAGGTATATGTCGACATGGAAGGACTTCTGAAAGATCTACATGGACAGGAGCCTTTTGACGGGGAATCTGAAGAAGAAGAAGATGTGGCGGTGCTCCCGATCGAGCAGGCCGCGCGAGACGACGAAGAGCTCGATATCCTCGATGAGTTGGACATAGAGGAAGTTCGGGATGGAGCTGTCCAAAGGGGTGGTATCGAAGCAAGGTTTTCTCAAGACAAGTTGAACAAGGTGTAGTCGTCGTACAAGGAGAAGGGAGAGGAAGCTACTCTCTAGAACAGCGGTTCCCAACCTTTTTGGCTCCGCGGCTCCCTAGCGAACCCAGAATTCCCCCGCGGCTCCCAGGATCCCAGTGCCCACGCGGCTCCCAGGATCCCAGTGCCCACGCGGCTCCCAGGATCCCAGTGCCCACGCGGCTCCCGCGGCTCCCAGGATCCCAGTGCCCACGCGGCTCCCGCGGCTCCCTGGATACCCAGTGCCCACGCGGCTCCCGCGGCTCCTACCTACTCTCCCTTCTTTTTCCCCTAAAAGGACCATTCGCAGCTCAATTCCGGCACTCATAACTTGCACGTACATATATTTTTTACAAATATTCCGCCTCCCTCCCGTCCATTCCCCGTTAAAGAGACTGAATGGGAATCTCCGGAGACAAGCAGCTCCTGGCTGGAGAAGGTAGCCTCGCGGGCATACCAGAGCTCTCTAACAAATGAGTCCAGTCTCTCTCGACGGAAGAGAAGAGTTGAGCTTCTCGAAGCTCACGGGAAAAAGCTTAGTGGTGGATGAAGTGTTCTCTGCGGGGAAGACACAAGGAAACAAAAGGTGCTCCGTGCGGTGGTGTGAAAGCGAGTGAGATTTTATTTTAGCTTCGTTCACTCCTCGATAGAGTTGGGCGGAATGGCGGGAACACAACCGTGGCAGATGAAGTCGATCCATTGCGGAACCTTCCCTAGGAAGTGACAAACCCTGACGGCCCGGACCTACACCAGAAATTCGTCCGCGGCTCCCCAAGAAAAGTCTCGCGGCTCCTAGGGGAGCCGCGGCTACCAGGTTCGGCGGCTCCCCCAGAAAAGTCCCCCCTAGGAGCCGCGGCTCCCAGGTTGGGAACCGCTGCTCTAGAAGTTCAAAATCAAGAGGTCGGAATTACGAGCGGTGAGACGGCATTTTGAAAGGGCTTGGGTGAACACGTGAAATACGCATTGGTGCGGAAATTCGGCGGCGAGCAGTCCGTTCAGGTTGGTTCGACAGGTGATTTCGAAGTTGATCATCCGGAGGTTCCCGTCATTTGTTTTCGGAGGCCCCTGTTTGATAGACTGCGTTATTAAATTGCATGACTCCTGACTCGCGCGGCACAAAGACAAGTCACCAAGCTTCACATCAGACGATGGATTCGCGACGCCGCGACGGAGCTCCGCCCGAAGCGAAAACTTACTAGTCAATCGTTCCTAACCGCAGTGCGCCGAGATTTGCGCATGTCGAGCCGAAAAATCACGAAAGTACAGTCTCACAAAAGGGGAGACACACCAATAAAGTTTATTCGGATTGTATCCTCCTTATACAGGAGTTAGGGTGGGGCGAGCTCCACCTTCTTTACCATGCTTACCTACACACATAGGCTGGATGAGTCTCCGTACAATATCTTGGGAGCCACCCAATGGGTGACTCACTCTAGCAATCTTAAGTCCCGCTTTCGTACTAGCGGACTATCATTTAGCTTACGTCGGAACCGGGATTGAGAACCCCGAATGCATAACTCACGAGGAAAGCTTACCCACGCTATGAGTCACGCCGACGCGACGCTACCGAGTCTGAGGATTCACAGCTTCCAATTCTGTTCATCCCGACACCATTGTTCTCCAAGAAAGCAACGCCAAGTTCGGCCCTATTGTTGAGCTTCGCCTAATCGATACATTGCATTCGTGCCCCAATGTAGAAGTCACCTGTTCCAAAGCCGGGAAATGCACTAGCGACATCATGAGGAATTGGTTCAGAAAAGTGTTTATCCCTGATGCCGCTCGCGATCTGCAATGTATTTTATTGTTAGATGCGTGGACGGGACAGGGGTCGTCAGCCGGGCTTGTGGATCCACAAGAGCACATCGAGTGCATTCCGGAGGGGACTACACAGTGGGTGCAGCCCCTCGATGTCTTTTTCTTTCGCCAGTACAAAATTCTGGCGAAAAACGTAACCGAAGCTTGTCGGGACCTGTATTTAGATGGGGGTGGACTGGTTCCAAAGCCCTCCGATCGTTATTTCACTATGAAACTTCATGCCGTCTGCTACAATCAAATGCAGCACCCCCGTTTTACCAGGATGTGGAAGTACGCTTGATGGAATGCGGGTTATGAGGTTCCAGGGGAAATTCACAGTTTCGAAAACATCACCGAAGTCTTGGTAATGGTAATGGCAATTTATTGATCTAGATGGGTCTTCTATGTATATTACAAGATGGCGCATCAGCCTTTCATGTCAGGCGCTATTAGGCAGATCTTTGGTCTCCTTCTCCCATTTTTCCGGGATTCGTTTGGTATTTGTCACGATCGAAGGGTCCTGTATTTCCTCTTGGAGGCCTAATCTTGAGAGGAAATCTTCGTCAGTGTAGTATGCGTCGTTGCATTCGAAGATCACATGTTTTACGGTCTCTTCAGATGTTCCGCATCTGGGGCAGGTGTGTGCATCCGGAGCGTGACCGACACCTGCCCCAGAGGTGTGCACCCGGAATCCCGAAAACCCTGAATCCCGAAAACCCTGAATCCCGAGAACCCTGAATCCCGAAAACCCTGAATCCCGAAAACCCGGAATCCCGAAAACTCGGTCCCCCGAAGAGTGGCTCACACAGTGCGAAGCGTGAAGTACAAGCGCAGCTGCACGCGTCGAACGCGGATATTCAATAGACTTCAGGTTTGGGTCATCCTTATGGTGATGTTGTTATTATACTTAGTGAAGTTATGCTGATGCTTTTATCCATTTATGCTGACGAGGAAGAACTAGCGAAATCTTGGAGATTGAAGCCGGTATTGCGCACGTACTCGATGAGACTGATCTGCTCCGACTGGAATTGCTCAGTGAGACGCACTAACCGCGCATTGAGCATAGCGTGCTTCTTCAGCACCGGTTTCGGTGGGTTCCCAGCGCTCAAGAGGACCCTCTGGAGTCTGCAATCGTTTTCATCCACCTTGAGATGAGCGACGAGCTCGAAGATGTTTGAATGCGACTTCTTAATCATCTTGTTTAGAGCGTTGTGCCATCCCTCCAGATGGTTCGTCGTTCTGGCTTCGAAGTTCCTGTCGAGAGGCGTGGATTGAGGGACTCAGTCCACGAACCCGGTCGGCGCCACTATGAGGCTGACGTCATGACGAGAGGGGGAATCCGCGAGATTGCGAATTGATCTCTTGCTCCAATCATCGCGAATCAATCATTCGAGGGAGCACAGAACTCACCCATGATGATTCCATATGGCGCGAGGAAAAACGTCGTTCTCCAACCAAGTACGGATGAAATATTCCTTGAACTCACTCAGCCTTGCGAAGGCTTCGTGGTCCGCTCCGGGGGAATCGGCGTCGATTTCCATCCACGCGTCGTCGATTCTTTCCAATGGCACGAAACAAAGAGCCATCGTCGACTTAATGAACCTGCGAAGAGAGTTGTTTTCGGAACCTGTCACTGCCTCGAAGGTTCCCGGTGTTAGCGCCCCCCACCCTCCGTTCCCGATACTCGATCGCCAAGGCTCACCTCTTGACAGAGGCTTCATTGCTGTATGACGTTGAGAGTCCATGTCTCTGAACGTTCCTCCAAACAGCCTGGCAGAAATGGAAGGCACATCCCCTGATCGCCGCTGTGGGGAAAACTTGCTCTATAGCCTTCAAGGCCGCCACCTCGTAATCTAGATGAAATTTCGCGGCCTGAAGAGCAAGCCTCTCGATGCGGCGAGGTCCGAGATCAGCCTGAACATTCGAATATATGTGTCTTTCTTCTTGTCTGCCAGGAGAAAGTAAGCCAAAGGCATCATCTGGCCTCTGAAGAAAGCATGGAGAGAGTACAACTGACAGAAAAGCGAGGGCACGATTCTGAACGTGCCATCCATGAAGACCGCCGTGGCTCCGCAGAGAATTGTCAGGGCCTCCTCGGTGAGGAATCCCAGCATCCGATCGGTTGTTCCGTCGTCGATCATCAGGAATGTGACCCCAAGCTTGGTCGTGGCCCACTGGCCTTCGAGGATGATATCGGCGAGAGTCTGGGGGAGCGTTGGTCGATCCTTTGCCCGATGTCTCTGCAGGGCACTGCGGACACTGCCATACATCGGCAGTGTTGCTCCGATCTCTTCGGTCGGGTGCTGAGTCTGATACTCAGTGACGGCATCGGCCAATGCTTCTCGATATACCTCTTGGCACGACTTGTCTGGTCTCGCGGACACCATGTTCTTCATTCGTTGAATCGTATTGCGCCTCATGAGGTCGCGATCTTCGACTCCATGACTGTGCTGCGTCGACATTTTGACGACGGCGAGCTCTGGGTCCTGATCGATGAATATGGCAGAGAATCGGAAGAGAGAACTCTCGGAGGAAATTCATATTCATCTGAATTTATTGTCGGACGGACCAGGAAAGTAGTGAGACTACCAAGAAATTCACCTTATCTATGGTGACCCGCGCAGGACAGTGATCGCTCTTCGTTCTTATACAGCGGCAGTACAGCCGACCTCCATGCTTCTTGTCGACCTCATACAAGAAGCCTCCCACGAGGTAAAGTTTACCATTCTTATGCGATAAAACTTCCTCGACATCCATTGGATATGAATAGTCGAACGAAATCAAGAGCAAAGTATTCTTAGTTTAAAAAGCTCCACCTTAGCGATTTAGAACCATTAAAAAGCTGAAGGTATCACAATAGGAGCGATTCTATTACAAGACGGGGATCGGAATGATAACAAACGGCAATCGAACGGCGCATCTCGGGGGCCTTCTCGCCCCGGGGTTACCATCCCCTCAATCGAATCCTTCCGAACGGAACCATCCGACTGAAAATGCTGATACCGTTCAATCGGGGCCGTTTGACCGAATGGGATCTCCCAAGTCCGCAGACCCAAACTCTGAGTATTCTCAGGCTCCCAAGTGGAGGAAAAAATATAGTCGGAGTCTGATCAGTATCGCCGGAGGATTTCCTGGAATAGCTGCCCTCTCTCTATCCGCTCTCACTCACGAAGTCTCTCGACGTGCTACCACCAAAGCAAAATATTCTGAGCGATACGGCGCACACTCCCATTCGATAAGTGATGGTGTCTCGATTAGGGCTCGCAGTCGGGATTCAAAACCGGGAAAATCCTGGGAAAAAACCGGGTCCCGGAACCGACTGTCCAGGGAAATTTCCCGGGAAAGTCGAAGATCTTCAGATATATTTTCCTGAGAAATTCGAGGGAGAAATTCAATTGGTGGAGACTCTGCCGATTTTTATCGCGCTCGTCACTCGATCCAGACTCTCCGATCAGGCTGCCGATCGTCTCGAGTAATAACCGGACGAGCTAACTCGTATTTCATTAGTGATTCGATCAAATCTCGGATGGAGAGTTTCGGCGTGCGACTCAGCAACTGTCGCTTCGGCATAACTGATGGAGCGTCGGTAATGAAAAGTGCCGTCGCGAAGCTCGGACTTCAATCCCAGCTATGTTTGCTTCATGGTCTCCACAATGCCCTCGAGAAAGTTTTACTCAGCAATGTCACTAATTCGCCATCGGATGTTGGGCACATGGTCCCTAATGAAGATAGCAACGACGAAGAGAGCGATGATGACGACATCCGTGAGGAACTCGCAGACGAGATGGAACTTGGTCCGCCGGAGGACATGGAATCTGACCAAGATGGAACTATGGAGATCGACCTTAAGGATCAAATCCAAATACCATGTCTCTCAGTCCGAAGCGCCCTAAACCATCCGCGAAGCATCCTGAAGAGCATTAAGCGCAGCGGACCAAGAAACGAAAAGCTACTCGAACTCACAGCATTGCCTCAGTACAACGGGAAGCGTCTCAGCATAATTCTTGACACGAGGACCCGGTGGTACTCGACGTTTCGGATGCTAGAAAGGGCTGTGCTCATCATGCCGGCCCTGAATGCGGTCCTCGAGGACAACGATGCACCGCGAATGAAGCGAGCTGCGAGGGAGAAGCTTCGAAATATCCTGACAACGTTATTGCCTTTCAAAACGGCCATGATTTGCTTGAGCTCATCGGAAGCTACTCTCGCGCAGGCTGACCGAATCCTGATGATTCTCTTGAACGGATTAGATCGTCGCGGCGATCCTTCCTCCGAAACACTGAGATCCGTCGTCGCTGAGGAGATACGGAAACGGAGAACCTTGAACTCGATACTCCTCCAGCACCTGCTCGATCCCGAGTATGACTCCAAATTCGAGAAAATGCTTGGCTTTCCCCAAAGCTCGGAAAAAGACCTCCGGAATCAGATAATAGATATTCTGAAGGGTGAAGGGATGTCGGAAATCGGCGACATTGATCTCCAAGGCTCAGGAGAGGATGAAGCTCCCCTCAGAGAAATGGATTTCGATAGCGTTTTCACGGTCCCTCTACTCAATCAAAAGAAGCCGTTACCGCCAGTTCAGCCCACCGTTGCACGATTGCGCACTGAGATGAAGTTGTTTGAGGCCGGTCACGGCCACGGGAAGCTGCTATCGCTATGCCTGAGAAGGCTGACGACAGTACCACCAACCTCGGTCTTGCCGGAAAGAGATTTTAGCACGATGAACTTTATATGCTCGAAAACCCGTAACTCACTCGCACCGAAGACGCTTGATAGTCTGATGGTCTTGCGTGCTCACCTCCGTGGGACAAAGCGTAGCCCTGCGACCGGCAACGGAGGGCATTGAAAGCAAATAAAGATTCGTCCTCCGGCGCGCCCTCATCCGTGATCATGTTCTCCTTCGTCGGCCAGCATTTCCCGCTAATTCCCGACTATCCCGGGATTTCCCGGGAATTCCCGACATTTTCTTTCCCGGGAAAACCAGGGAATTTGCGGTTCCTACTCCGAACATAAGATGGACAAGATTTCTCAGCTTGAATAAGGCAATTCCAGCAGTGTCGCGGTGAAACGGCCCCACTCATAAGGTTTCGTTCATCTGGTTCCAGTCAACAGGGTGATGCGGGATTCTGGGCTTTCAGGCTTCAGGATTTCCGGGGTTCTGGGCTTTCGGGATTCAGGGTTTTCAGGACTCTGAGTTTTCGGGATTCAGGGTTTTCGGGATTCCGGGTTTTCGGGATTCAGGGTTTTCGGGATTCCGGGTTTTCGGGATTCCGGCTGCACACCCAGGTGTCCTCCTGCTGTAGGTCAAGACCTACCTCGGCTTTTCGTTGGTAATATTCCCGCTCTGGCCAAGGCCAGGAGAGTGTCCCCTCTTCGGTTTCCGTAGAGGAAGGTTTGGATACCGAGGCTTTTCTTGCCTTGCCAGTGAACTTCTAGGCTTGATTTCAGAATCATGTCCTGTCTCCAGACGCTCTCCTGGGTCTCTCTAATTTGCTTTTTTATCTGAGAGTTATAGGTATTCAAACATGGTGCCCCCGAGACTGAATATGCAACTTCGATTGTGCCGCAGTTGTATGTCCTTTCCAGGTGTTCCGTTCTTTCGTACATCTTTGTTTGTATGCCCACTATCTTCATCATGCTCAGTAAGGCTGTTGGCCACCTGTCTAAAAGTAAAGATTCTTTTTTGAAAATGATAATCGCCTGGTTTGACATGCTTTTTTGAAAGTTCCCGAGCCCCGGAGCAACCCCGAGTCGTTTTTCCCTGCTGCCCCGCATTTCATACCCCTTCTCTGCAGGCTGCGAAACCCGGAAAAAACACCTTTTACATCGAAATCCGCGATATTTTTCTCGGATTTTGATGGAAATGTTTTTTTCCCAGCTTCCGAGGCTCGGAAAGACCCATTCCCACTGATATCCGAGCAAAATATCACGGATTTCGATGAAAATTGTGTTTTTTCCGGATTTCGGAGCCTGCAGAGAAGGGGTATGAAATGCAGGGCAGCAGGGAAAAACGACTCGGGGTTGCTCCGGGGCTCGGAAACTTTCAAAAAAGCATGTCAAACCAGGCGATTATCATTTTCAAAAAAGAATGTTTACTTGTAAGAGACATGACTTCGATTCTTTTCATATGCCTCAGTTTGCTTTGGGCTTCCCTCCCTTCAAAGGAGGACCACCCGAGCTCGCCGGTGATAAATTCGTTCGCGGTTTTATAGGATGTGATTCCTAATGCCCATTTCCCCGCGTCTCTCTGCCGTAGTTCGAGTTTTGCGGGTAATTTCCCAGTTGCGACGGTTACTGCGTTTGCGTAGGTCAATTGTGGTACCGCGGTTGCCTTCCACTGAGATCTGGAAACTTCGAATCGGTTGAAGCCCCAAATGGAAGTTGCGTGCATTCTGTGTAATGCGACTAGGGATTGCTTTTCCCAGATATCTTCCTGTGCTTTCAAGTAGTTCTTGGAATTAGATAGAGCAACAGTTTGAAGATCCATCTGGTGTCGATGGCTTCTCTGCCTGGGGGCAGATCAGTTGGAATCCATGCTTTTAATTGTTCCATGGAATTCAGTTCCTCTTGGATTGCAGCAATCAATTGAGATCTCTCTGGGCTTCTGAGAGCTTCTTTGTAGCTTGCCGCTTCTGAATACCTTCCAGTGGGTGACTCAGCTCGAGCCACAAACACTGAAGAATTATTGTCGTCGTCGGACACAGCATCAAAATGAACTCCTCGTGAGACGATGATGGCCATGTTCCAGGTTCAAGAACATTCGCCCCTGCCATGTATCTATCAGGGCGTTTGAGTGTATTACGTGGTCTTAGCGTACGAGTCGATGTGTGTGGGATTGCTTGTTCGGGGGACTCGTTACCGCTTTCATGATTCTCGATTCCCTTGTCTCTTTCTTCAGAAGGTTGCGTGTTGAGAATTTTCGGTCCTACAGTGGGCGCTTGTTCTGCTGGAACATTTTCCCTGCCCCTGGATGTTTCCATTTCTGGATGGGCTTCCTTTTCAAGACTCAACAGGTGTTTCTTCAAGAAAACTACATCCTTTGTATGGATCAGTGTTTGGGTGTTTGGCAACCACACTTTATAGCCAAGACCATGATCTGCATAGCCGACCAGTCGACCTTTAATGCCTCTCCTCTCACACTTTCGCAGTTTGGGCTTTGGGGATCTGATGAAACATTCTTCTCCAAATGGGTGAAGCCTTCCCAAATAAGGCTTTCGTTTGTGGATAATCTCGTACGCCGAAATGTTGAGCGTAGGATGGATTGACACCGCGTTGAGAATATCCACGCAGTTTACGCATTCTGCCCAAAGATATTTCTTGTGTTCAAGACCGGCACTGATTAGAACTGATCTTACCAAATTGACTGTACGATTTCCGCGCTCTGTTACTCCATTCTGAGCAGCAGTGTACACCGAACCGAAAGTTTGTTCAGCTCCGATTTCTTGAAGAATTTTGGTCACCTGATTATTTTTGAGCTCGGTTCCTTCATCTGAGTGAAGGCGTTTGATGTCACTGCCGGTTTGAGTCTTGAACCATCGGACATATAGTCAAATACAATTGGGAGTTTCATCCTTGGTCTTGAGAAAGTACACTTTTCGATATTTTGAAAACTCGTCGGTCAGCATAAGGAAATGCTTGGCTTGACCTAGCGAAGGAGTAGAGGGAGAGCAGAGATCTGCTGACACCGTACCTGGTTCTGTGCTCTTGTAATCAGAAGGACGACTGTGATATGAAGCTTTCGTTTGCTTTCCTGCAATGCAGCTTTAACACTGGGGAGTGTCGAACATGTAACACGCCGATCGGGCTGAAACTTCGGTCATAGAATCCCCGCCCCGAGAGAAGTTCAACCCTAGGAGGTTATCTGCGTATGGCCACTTCAAGGGTGTTTAAATAATTATCGAAAACTCGCTCTTAAGCATCGACTCTACGGGAATAATGGAAAATACTATGAACAATCGACGAATATTGGATCTGCCCGAGATATCCGAAAACATTTTTGGATCGCCGGATTCGAATTTGACGCCAAGACGCCATCTTCATGAGTGGTATCGACTCCCAATTCCCTCGAAACAGCCAAATAATTAGAGCCAAATTTCTGCACGAACGGGATGGAGCAATTTATTCTGACGAATTCAGTGTACGTGGTAGTCCACGAAAAGCACTTCACACATAGATTCTGCTTGCAATGTACGCATTTTATGAACGGAATACAAAAATATGTTCGTAACTCGCACCAAGTCTGGGAAGTTGAACAAGGGACTGATGAAGATCTGGCGTCAGGAAATTCTAAAGGAAGTTTTGGATCGCACCCAAGTGGATCGATGTGTGCTTTATCTCGATTCCTGGGGCGGACAGCGAGATCAGAGCTTGTTCCAACTGGACGACAAAGAAATCTGCCTCAAGACACTACCGCCGGGGTCAACACCGCTGATTCAGCCGCTGGACGTTTACTGCATCCAAATGTGGAAGAATTTCGCGAAGCGAATGACTCGAGCATGTGGCTTGATCGGATGCCGCATCGACCGCCGCGATGATGTCCTTCGACTCCAATGGTCATCTATAATCAGTTTCAGCTTCCTGATTTCCGAAGTATATGGTTGTACGGCTAGCACAAGTCCGGCTTCGATGTCCCGAAGATACCCTTCCTGAGTATCGCCGAGATGTTGTTCTCGGTCACCGAAGTTTGTTCCGGTGATTCATGTCGCGGAATTCCGTTCATAAAATGCAAACATTGCAAGCAGAATCTATGTGTTAAGTGCTTTTTCGTGGACTACCACGTACACTGAGTTCGTCAGAATGAATTGCTCCATTCCGTTTATGTAGAAATTTGGCTCTAATTATCTGGCTGTTTCGAGGGAATGGGGAGTTGATACTGCACGAAACGCAAGAACTGGTGTAGGGGGATCTCCGCTGACAGGCTCGTTGCTGTTTTTCGATTCAAGTACCCTTCCAGCACTTCGCCCACCTGGTGGGTGTCCGTGCGATGGTGGCGGCATAAATGTGCTCGGGCCACTTCCCGGGCCTCTCGGGCGATGCGGGACTCTGGGTAGGCTGCATGTTGCGTTTTTGTTTTCCGCGTTTCCCACCGGGGGCAAAACCAGCAAGCCGCTCGACAAAAACTATCTCTGTCGGAGAACACGGCGACCATATTTGGGATGGTGATCCAAAGTAGGTCCTCTCGGACGGTGGTGCTCTTCGCAACAACTGTCAGTAAGCTTGCGAACGACTCATCAACGGTGGGAATCGTGAAGCCGGCTAACATTCGGGTCGACTTTATGATTTGCAGTTCCGACAGGTTGGCATCCTCCCGGAACAAGTAGTAGGGGGAGCGTACCAGTTTTGGGCCACTTAACGCAGTCCTTCCGAATCTAGGCTGCTTCTGCGGGAGCCAGGGGGAGTACGGGGCTCATTTTTTTTTCAAAAGGTGGCCAAAAGGTTGAGTTTGAAGATTCTTGTTTTGGTTTCTCAAACCGAGTTGTACGTTCCGATATTTTCTGTTTTCTTCCAAAAATTGCGAAATCCATTTCTGGACCGTGTTAGAGCAGTTTTGGACCAGGTAGTAACCAGCTTTGGGCCATCCGAACTTCCCCCTTCACGATCTCCCTAGTGATCGCAAACCTCTCAGAGGAAGGCATTAAAATCATAAATTCGGTCTTACTCAATATTTCTGTGATGCTCCAACTCCATTTAATAGTTCCGGCCCAAGCGAATCGAGCGCTAGGGTAAAAACTTCTGAAGATTGAATGTACTGAGAAGTCGAACTGATAATGTCACATCGCAAGATCTCTAGGATGAGACATTCCAAACAGTTGAGCGAGAACCTTGAACGAGTGCAGTGCTGTGCCCGCATCGACCCCGTGCATAATCATGCCTGCGGTTAGTATTCCGATCGTTATCTGACGGTTTATCCCACCCGTCGGAATCTCGCAGCCATGTGCTAGAGTCTCGAATCCAGACAGCAATTTTCCATCGGAGATCCGCGAATGTCTGACCTCTTTAGTTTCGTATTCGCTCTTCGCGCTATCAGAGATCCTCTGGCTCTTGCCTTCCAGAACGCCAATTACACTACCGAAGATCTTCGGAATGCCATTGAAGCTGTAAGGAATGGCATGAGTCACAGAACTGCAGCGAATCAATTCGGGGTGCCGCGTACGACATTGAGCAGAAAGATTGACAGCGAGGATCCGGAAAGGCTACCTCGTGGTCCGAGTCCCGTGTTAGGCGAAACCGAGGAAGACATCGTGCAATGGGTTAAGGATATGGCTAAAATGGGATTTCCTGTCACCAGGGAAGCTCTCCAAGAAACAGGCCGTAAACTGGCGAAATTAGCTGCAAAAGACGGCAATCCAAGAGCTCATCAAATAGTTTCGGCGGACAAGTGGGTACGCTTGTTTTGTCAGCGACATCAAGACCTCGCATTGAGAACGCCCGAGCACATTTCAAGCGCTCAAGCTAACATCAGCGAAGCTGACATTAGAGAGTACTTCACTCGCATAACGACATCCTTGCGTGACAGAAATCTAGCGGAAATCTTGCATCAACCGAGTCGAATCTTCAACGCGGACGAAACGGGATTCGCTCTGAATCCTCATAGCGGGAAAGTAATGGGAGTCAGAGGGGCTCGCCATGTCCACTCGGCAGGAGGTTCCGACAAGGAGAACGTTACCGTGCTTGTTTGCGGGTCAGCAGCAGGCCACCTGGCGCCCTCAGCGATCGTATTGAGACGCAAACGAATGCCTCCAGCTTTCACGGACCTACTCCGACAGGGATTCTGCCTCTTCAAATCGGATAAAGGCTGGATGACCGGCGCCACCTTCCTCGAATATCTGAGGTTGAAATTCATTCCTTTCCTCGCCGAACAGAACATCGAAAGACCGGTGCTCCTCTTTTTAGATAATCATAGATCCCATCTCACGATGGATGTTTCGGATGAATCATGTGAGTTCTCCCGAGATGATGTATTGCGACTACCCACACCACACAGACCGAGGCGGCGCTGAATAAAAAATCTCCTCATCTTCTATCCGTTTGAACGTTTGAACAACTCAATGCAATCATTTCGAGCTTCGCATTCCAATGTCACTAAGGATGTGTTCCAAAATACGAGAGATCCAGGCTACAGCGCACGTCTTAGCGTCGATTATCTTAATTTTTAGGTTCAATTTCATTCTCGAAATTGCCGTCATGCGCTTTCAAATAGCTTTCGCGGAATTTACATCTCCACCGCAGAGCCCATCGAATTCGACGTCCTTTGGAGAGAACAACGAAGTGATTCGCTACGAAAGGGAGCCAGAACGGCAGATAACGATTTTCGAGTACTCAAGCGACGAATTCGTCGGAACGACCGAGTGTATGCTGTAATTCTTGTAAGAATTATCATTATTATTATTGGGGAATGAGGCAGATCTTTTCCGGGGTCTGGCGGCGGTCCAGAACTAGTCAAATTTCGGAAAATAGCTGACCAGTTTTGGGCCACCTCGACGCCACCTCAGCCGAGCATTTCCGCTGACGCTGTTTGCGAAAACGGGAATTTCCGCTGCAGGTGATTATCACGGGAATAAGTGTCCCCGGAATATCTGATGTATACTGGATGAAAGAAAGGAAGAACGAAAAGAAGATGCTTAAGATTTCGCTAAGCTGTCCGAAAAATCTGAAGTCTCAATCATTCGGGGATCGCGGTTGCAGGCAGGGACGGACCGAATTTCGCTTTGGGGGCTCAATGTAAGGCTTGATGCCAGAGCTTTCTTTTGTGATAATCAGAATCGATATTCTGAATCTCTGCAGCACGAAATCATGGTATTTCCGAAATATGGTCCATAACTGGTCAGTGGTCCAAAGCTAGTACGCTTCCCCTACGCTAGAATCGACCCGAGGGTCACAACTCGGTCACGAAGCTCATCCGAGAGATAGGTCGACGTATAATTCATGACCATTAGCGGTCCGTCTTTAGGAAGCTTTGCCTTATTCGTAGATATGTCGCAGGGGAAGCTTTCCATGTGCTTAGCCAAGGCTGCGATCTCATCACACAGTTCTTTCACAGGGTGCTCGAGTAGTCCTCCGTGGAAGAGTTTAGCCACCGTGGCGGCTGGGCGTCCTAGAATTAGAATCGATGACATGAGAGCTCACATTCAACCACGGTATCGGGAGCGCATGGACATGTGCTGATGAATTCCTAGCTCATAGGCATGCGCCAAGGCGTCTGAACGCATGAGCATGTGCTTAGAAAGTACTAGCTCATGGGCATGCGTCACGACGTCTGGACGCTTGGTCATGCGCTCACGGACTTGAAGCGCATAGACATGTGCTGATGAATTCCTGGCTCATGGGCATGCGCCAAGGCGTCTGAACGCATGGTGACTAAAGCACATGGACATGCGCCCAGGAATACCCAGGGCATAGGCATGTGCTAACAAATTACTGGCTATGCGCTCGCGAAGTCCCAGCCCATGGCTAGGCGCCCATAGAATCATACGTCTGGAGATACAGCATGCATGGGTACGTACGGTCGTCTTCCCTCTATTTTGGTTCGTACTTTGAACTTGTTGCGCCGCCGCTGTTCCTTGTCCCGAGCCTCCGGGCTCCACGGGCGACAGTCGCGAGATTTCGATACTGACAATCTCTCTGCAGAAGAATCCCATTTCGGAATAGACAAACATTTTCTCCACAGACCATTCGTCGAGCTTCGTGGGTCTTCTTACTGCGAGAGAATTCACATTAATCCCTACTCAGGGGAGTGGATCGAATGGAAAACAAGCTACATCTCCCAGTCTACGTCGAGTTTCTCACTTGAGAAGTCCCGGCTCATGGCGTCGTCCTCGACGAGATTCAGATGATCAATTTCCATGGCGCGCATGCAGGAAAGACTCTTTAACAGCTTTCCGTCCTTAGTTGAGAGTACGTCAAAGACAGTCATATCGTTCACGTCAATGAGTCGTCTCAATGTCCCGATGATAGTCTTCCTTACTGGCCTGGTGAGCTCATCGTCGTTTGGGACTCGTAGTCCTGTCACAAATTCGTGTAGGAAGTCTTCGCAGGTGATCTCCTCGGAGCCGAGGAAATGATCAAGAGGCTACAACAGCTCTCTGCGTTCGAGCGAAGTCGCCTGCCAAACGTTCCACAGCCTCTCTGCTTCTATTCGGGCTTCCTGGACAGATCCCTCATGAGCGTAGATCGACGTGACTGAAACGAAGATGAAGCTAATCAGGGTGTCAGGGAGGAAGCGATTAGAGTCTTATTCGAAGGTTCTTGTCGGCACTTACGCGGGACGAGGGGCGGGGGACGTAACTGCCCTCAGCGACGCCAGCACTTTTTGTCGTGTCGTTCCTTTAATATCCAGTTGTCGATACGCCTGTGCCGCACTGTCTTTGTCCGCGAGCTTCCTTACGATCAATCCGATGAGTTTAGAAGCCGTCTCGGCCGAAATATTGTGTGATCGTCGCCATTTAGCGAAACCATACAGTGGGTTGCTGAATTCGACATCCAGATTGTGAATTGTCAACGTCGCCGTTATCGCAGACTCCATGCTGATGGTCGGATTCTGTGGAGCATGATTGGCAACATTAGGTGAGGGAGCCCTCGACAGTGGAAAACACCCTTTGGAAATACCACAATTCCACGCGCGTGTTCTCGAGTGAACTTACCTCACGGGCCAGTTTCGAAACGAGTTCGGGAAGTCCTAATCGCTTGGGTGCCATTTTGATTTCGTTATCACTCATGAGTGATTAGCGTCCGATGCGCGAGTGCCTGTTAGCATTCCTTCCGAACGCTCATTGGGTGAATCAACCCGAACTCAACCACTCGTCGTCCGATATAAAATCCCGGAGGCACTGCCGATCTCAGTCAGTCGGCCTCGAGTCCACTAGCAAACGCTGCGATATTCCATTATGGCCTCGACAGCGATGGATCGTCGGCTTATTCTCCAGGAACTGAACAGAACAATAATGAGCACGGAACACACTACACTCCCAGTTGAGAACAACCACACACGTGTCGGAATTGGACCGCGCTAGCGTTCTCCAGTTCGGCACGTGTGTGGCGTCTCAGCTGGCTGGCTCGCACGCGCGCGCGATATTAGAATAGCGCGCATGAGATATGAAGATGGCGTCTCGGCGCCAAATTCGAATCCGGCGATCCAAAAACACATGTTTTCGGATATCTCGGGCAGATCCGATATTCGTCCATTGTTCATAGTATTTTCCATTATTCCCGTAGAGTCAATGTTTAATGGCGAGTTTTCGATAATTATTTGAACACCCTTAAGGTGGCCATACGCACATAACCTCCTAGGGTTAAACTTCTCTCGGGGCGGGGAATCTATGACCGACGTTGCAGCCCGATCGGCGTGTTACATGTTCGGCACTCCCCTTGTTGTGGCGGGCGCCGCACATTTCCATATTATTACGCGAAGACGACGAAGCAATAAATTCATTCAGTCCGTAGCCGCTCAAACTACGACTCGTGTTCTCGATCACTTGGTGGTTCTACACGCCAAATTGGTGACCCGGACGTCGAATCATGACAGATTCCGACCAGTTTGAAGACTCGAGGGAGAGCCTCCAGCTGGGAGCCAATGCCGCCCCAGTGCAAATCTCAGCCGTCAGCTTGAAGCTACCGCCGTTCTGGCAGAAGCAGCCCAGCATCTGGTTCACGACTATCGAGGCCCAGTTCAGCCTGCGCAAGATTACCGACGACCAGACGAAATTTGAGTATGCCCTTACTGCTCTAGACCAGGACGCACAGGAACGAGTCGCGGATTTCTTCGACGCCCTTCCCTCCGCGGGGTCGAGATACGCGAACTTCAAAGCAAGGCTTCTCGATTCTTTCAAAGTCAATCAACACCAGCGGCTGGCTGCGCTAATATCTCTGACCATGGGTGATGATACGCCGTCCAGACTCCTGGACAGGATGCTAGGTCTGTACCGGCCAGACGCGGGCGCTGAGACGAACCCCCTATTCCGATTCCATTTCATCCAGAAGCTTCCGGCCTCTGTCCGAGAGCAAGCCGCCGCGCTTGACGATCTCAAACTCCGGGAGCTGGCGAAGTTCTGCGACAAGGTGTTCGCTCAGCGGCAGACGACGACCGCTTACAATGTACAAGACGGAGAATCCACCGAAGTTGAAGCGGTTCAGCGGCTCGTGCGGGGTACCAAAAAGCAAGGACCTACACAAACAGAAAAAACGACAAGAGTATGTAGATTTCATACCAGGTACGGTGAACTTTCGAGGAACTGCCTCATGCCTTGCTCGTGGAATGGAAAAGTCGCTTCGACGCAGGGAAATGCCCTCGCCGGCCGTCAGTAATCGCTTGTACGGCCGGCGCGCAGCAGAAAGGCGATCTCTTCTTCGTGTTCTGTGCCGAGTCAAGGCGAAATTTCCTAGTAGATTCAGGGGCACAAGTCAGTATCGTTCCGCCGGCGCCGGGTGATCGCTTGGTTCCTAGTTCGCACAGCCTCCTAGCCGCAAATCATACTCCAATCACTTCGTACGGGAAGAAAGATCTCAAGCTGAACCTCGCAAACCGATTCACATTCACATGGACCTTCATCGTGGCTGACGTCAAACACGCCATTTTAGGATCCGATTTCCTTCGAAACGCTGGACTCTTGATTGATCTTCCCGGAAGGAGACTCATAGACACCGTATCGCTAGCGGTCATTCCTCTCCACACACCACGGTCTCGGAGCATAGTCAGCATACTGACGAAGGCTAGCAATGACTTCGAGGCGCTTCTCCTACGTTTCCCCGCCGTTCTCACACCGCGTTTCAACGCCGCAGTCAAGCACAAAGTCCAACATCATGTTGTGACTAAAGGTCCTCCTCGTCACGCCAGAGCACGGCGTTTGGCCCCCGACGTACTACGGGAAGTCAAGAAGGAGTTCCAATCTTTGGAAAAACTCGGTATCATCAGGAAATCGTGTAGCCCTTGGTCGAGCCCACTCCATGTTGTGCCGAAGGCAGATGGCACCAAGCGACCCTGTGGCGATTTCCGTCAGGTTAATGACATCACTGAGCCTGACCGCTATCCACTACCTCACATACACGATTTCGCGTCTAACTTGCACGGCTGCAAGATCTTCTCCAAAATTGACCTAGTGAAAGGTTACCACCAGATACCCATGGCCCCGGAAGACATTCCGAAGACAGCAATCATTACCCCTTTCGGTCTGTGGGAATATACAAGGATGCCCTTCG